TTTTTTGGAGATGAAGAAAATATTTTTTATTACCTTCATCCAAAAAATAATTATGTATTTTAACTTTTAACATTGATTTTAGATTAGAAAATTTTAAGAGATTAGTCATTTAATTATTTTTAAACTTGTTCTTCTCACTCATTTAATTTTAAATAATAACTACTAACTATTATATAATCAAACAATTATATTATTCGAATCCATTTTTTACTATTCATCATTTACTATCTACTAACAGCCACTCATTACTCACTACTTACTACTACTCACTACTTACTACTACTTACTACTACTTACTACTACTATCTGCTATTTGTTACTCACTATAATCCCAGCTAACTATCCCTCAATTCCTAAGATATAAAACTCATTTCTTTTCCTTTATAAAAATGTGAATTAAGTTTTCAATATATATGCATAATCTGTTGTGCAAAATAAAATAGAGATCAACTGCAATCTTACAAATAAAGTGCAGAAAAATAAAAAGAAAGGGAAGAGAATATCAAGCCGTGATTTATAGTGGTTCCTCCAACCCGGAGTACGTTCGCTCCCCAAGCGTCCTTGCTCGAGAGTTCAATTCACTAGAAATCTCTTGCTTACGGGTGCAAGATTAAACCAGAACAAACTCTTGCTTGCGGGTGCAAGATTAAACCCTTACAAGTGAATCTTAACTCACTCAACCCCTTCAAGGATTATCCCAATCCAAGAAGAATACAAAACCCTTGTAAGACAATTAACCCAAAAGCTCACAAGAAGAGAAGAAGAAGGAGATCCAGAACACTTTCAAAAACAAACCTTGTTTTTCTGTATTGCTGGAGCAGTTCGTCCTTCTTCATACATCAGATCTGATTTTTTATGTCCTTTTAATAGTTGGTTGGGAGCCTTGCAATTAAAGCCCTTTTAACCTTTCAAAGCCACCTCACAATTGCCCCAATTAGGTTCCACCTTTTTCTTCAAACTTGTCTTGGAAACTGCTAAGACATTTAGATACCCTATGACCCTTTAAGAATAAACAGATAGTTGAGCTGTCAAAATTTACCCTTCCAAAATTTTTGCTTCGAAGCGAGAAATATTGCTTCGAACCATTTTCGGAAAACAAAAGTTCGAGATTGATTCGAATCAAAATAAATTGGTTCGAACCCATAATTCTAAATAAGGAGAACATGAATTAATTCTAATCTTGGGGAAAGATTAGAACCCTTGGATTAATTTTTCTACACACTTAGCACAAAAATAGATTAAACTCTTTTGAATCATGGTTTTAAATCATCATCACAATACAAAGAGAACCTAACACTCACTACTTGTTAATCACTGGATTTTAAACATTATATCAAACAGGTTTTTAGTTTTTTTCAATTAAAGTTTATTAAAATTAAGTAATTTAAAAATATTTTTCTACTTAATTTTTTTATAAATACATATGATAAATATTTTTTTCAAAATTTAATATAGTTATAGAAAAAGTATGTATTAATTTTAGGTCCTATAAAAATATTGGAGTCCCAATTTCAAAAATACTATCCTTTAATAAATATTTTTGAAAAGCAATCAAAAACAATTTTCATTAAGGTGATGTAGGGTACAAGTCGTGCCCATAAACACTGATGGTCCAAACTTATTGTTACTTTTGTAAATGCTTAGTTGGGCTTTTAAAATTTTAATTTTTTAAATGACAAGAAAAATCCCTTTTATTGTCCATTTGAAAATTGTTGAGCAAACCTCGGATACAGTGGTGACCAAACTATAACGATACAATCAAATTTATTAAATTTGTTTAAATTTGAAGCTCAATATTTAGAGCTTGATTTGGAGCTCAAACATTTATAAAATTAACTGAATCATGCTCGATTAGGTGTAAAGATAATTTGAAAAGGAGGCCGCGGGCCATTTAGTTTACAATTTATCAAAGAGGGTGAGACTTTTAGACTACAACTTAAAAGAATGTGTTTAGTAGGGAGGTAATTTTTTTTTAAATGTTTTTTATAAAATTATTCATATATTT